CTGGGTTTTGTCCTGATGAGAAATTGACAAGAGGCTAACATACGAGGTAGACAGGGTTTGTTGGAGACACAGCAGGCAGAGTTTCCTGATTGGCTCAGCGCAGGAAGCTGGGCAGGAGTTTTTATTGGGTGGGAAGGCCTGGTGGCACCCTCAGCCCTTGGCCCAGGCATTGGGCAAGCACCATTGATTCTCTTGTACCCAACATGCTCAAAACGGCCAGCCCAGGAAGACCGCTTACTGAGTGCACTGGGCTTCAGTAGGTGTGCGTGCAGGTGGGCCAGGACGGGGTCTTTTGCAGTCAGGGTCCTGACGCTCCTTGCTCCTGATTGCTTTGGAGCTGGAGATGAATACGTAAGTTGGGAGGGGTGTAATTTCATGAATCCTGTTTCTATTCTGTATCTCAATCATACTGATGTGGGCACACAGGTAGCTAGTAACAAGGAGGAGCTGAGAGACTACCAGCAGCCCCTGTGCAGAAGCCCTGGACCACTTAGTGCCCTATCCCCTGTGTCGATACAACATGGCTGCAGGCTCAGCACCGCCATTCCCCATCACGCCCCTGAGAGGCCGTGACACCTGCCTAGAGATGAACACAAGTGTGCTGCAGCCCCACATGGAGACCCAGGGCACTGCCAAGATTCAAAAAAAAAAAAAAAAAGGGGGGGGGGGGCTGCAGAAGCAAACGGTGCTCCAGCCCCACCCAAACTCTTCTTTATTTGAATATTCAATTAGGTAACTATCTCCTACCATATAAAAGGACAACTCCAGCTTTGGAAGAAAGGTTTCCTGCCCTCATGTCTAAGTAAATCCTGCTTTTCTATACACCTTTATGTCTCCTCATTGAATACTTTTTTTGTTAAGATTTATATATTTGTTTATTTGAAAGAGTTACACAGAGAGAGAAGGAGAGGCAGAGAGAGAGAGAGAGGGAGAGAGAGAGAGGTCTTCCATCAGCTGGTTCACTCCCCAACCTGCCGCAACTGGCCAGAGTACGCTGATTCGAAGCCAGGAGCCAGGAGCTTCATCAGGGTCTCCCACGTAGGTGCAGGGTCCCAAGGACTTGGTCCATCTTCTACTGCTTTCCCAGGCCATAGCAGAGAGCTGGATCAGAAGTAGAGCAGCCGGGATTCAAACAGGCGCCCATGTGGGATGCTGGCACTTCAGGTGGCAGCTTTACCCACTACACCACAGTGCCAGCCCTGAAAACTTTCTTTTAAAAAAATTTATTTATTTGAAAGACTTACAGAGAGATAGAGAGAGAATGATCTTCCATCTGCTGGTTCACTCCTCAGATGGTTGTAACAGCCAGTGCAGGGCCAGGCCACAGCCAGGAGCCAGGAGCTTCATCCGGGTCTCCACGTGGATGGCAGGGACCCAAACACTTGAGCCATCCTCCACTGCTTCGCTTAGACCGTTAGCAGGGAGTTGGATCAGAAGTGGAGCAGCCAGGACATAAACCAGCATCCATAAGGGATGCCAGCCTTACCACCTTGAATTGTTTTTTAGTGGCAGGAAGAGTCTGGAAAAAGTCCAAAAATACCTCCGTCACCTGCTTGAGCTTTGCTTCCTGAGCAAGTTCCTCTCTATTCTTTAGTTGCCATATTAAACAAAAAGCTGGCATTGTTGTTTTTTTTTTTTAAGATTTATTTATTTGTTTGAAAGAGTTACACAGAGGAGAGGAGAGGAGAGGAGAGGAGAGGAGAGGAGAGGAGAGGAGAGGAGAGGAGAGGAGAGGAGAGGAGAGAGGTCTTTCATCCGATGGTTTACTCCCCAATTGGCTGCAACTGCCGGAGCTGTGCTGATCCGAAGCCAGGAGCCAGGAGCTTCTTCCAGGTCTCCCACGTGGGTGCAGGGACCCAAGGACTTGGGCCATCTTCTACTGCTTTCCCAGGCCACAGTAGAGAGCTGGATAGGAAGTAGAGCAGCTGGATCTTGAACTGGTGCCCATATGGGATGCCGGCACTTCAGGCCAGGGCTATCACACTGCTTTTCCCAGGCCATAAGCAGGGAGCTTGATGGGAAGTGGAGCAGCCAGGACATGAATCCCATATGGGATACTGGCATTGCAAGCAACGGCTTTACCTGCGATGCCACAACACCGGCCCCAAGGCAGATTCTTTTTTTTTTTTTTTTTTTGACAGGCAGAGTGGACAGTGAGAGAGAGAGACAGAGAGAAAGGTCTTCCTTTTGCCGTTGGTTCACCCTCCAATGGCCGCCGCAGCACCGGCCCCAAGGCAGATTCTTTAGGGAGCTCTGCCTTAGCCACTGTCCCCTTTCTTGTCACAAGGAAGTAAAGCTTCTGTCTAAGCAGTTCCCACTTGATGCTGATTATGTGGTGATCCCCAAGTGAATGGACCCTCTGTGTGTTGCCAACACCTGGAGAAAAACTCCAAACCATAGGCAACCATTAATTTAATTTCTGTCCTATGAATTTTCTAAATCTGGATAGTTGTTATAGATAGAATCATGTCATAAGTAGCCTTTGTGATGGTTCCTTTTACTTATATATTTTCATGGCTTACTCATATGGTAGCATGTACTAGAACTTAAAATTCTTTTCTATGATAAGTAGTATTCCATTATATGGATTTATCATACATTGTCTATTCACTCATCTCTTGATGGACATTTGGATTTTTTCCATGTTTGGTTGTTATGGGTAATATGGCTATGAAATTTGTGCGTAATTTTTTGTCTGTTTTTATTTTTCTTGGGTATATACCTAGGAATGGAATAGCTGAGTTTTATAGTAACTATACTTAACATTTTAAGAAACAGCCAGATTATTTTGGCACAGTTTTTCTTTTTTGTTTTTCTTTTTTTTTTTTTCTTTTTGACAGGCAGAGTGGACAGTGAGAGAGAGAGACAGAGAGAAAGGTCTTCCTTTTGCCGTTGGTTCACCCTCCAATGGCCGCCACGGCTGGTGCGCTGCGGCCGGCGCACCATGCTGATCCGAAGCCAGGAGCCAGGTACTTCTCTTGGTCTCCCATGGGGTGCAGGGCCCAAGGACTTGGGCCATCCTCCACTCCACTCCCGGGCCACAGTAGAGAGCTGGCCTGGAAGAGGGGCAACTGGCACAGAACCCGGCACCCCGACCGGGACTAGAACCCGGTGTGCCGGCGCCGCAAGGAGGATTAGCCTAGAGAGCCATGGCGCCGGCCATTGGCACAGTTTTTGAAACAAAGTTTTCTTGAAGTCATGGGCAAGTTCTTAATGTTTCATTTGTTACAATAAAGGGGAATTTATTTTCTAAGAAGATTTTAATGTGATTTTCTTGAAAGCAGTAGGTAATAGCTTTTCTCAGGTTTTAACTTTCTTCCTATCCTGTCTCTTTTTGTAGAGAGAAACAGTTGTTTCATGAGTTTTAAGAGGAATTAAGACTTATGAAAGTGAATTTTCATTTTTTTTTATTTTTTAAAGATTTATTTATTTGAAAGAGTTACACAGAGAGAGAAGAGGCAGAGAGAGAGAGAGAGAGAGAGAGAGAGAGAGGTCTTCCATCCACTGATTCACTCCCCAGATGGCCGCAACGGCCAGAGCTGCGCTGATCTGAAGCTAGGAGCCAGGAGCTTCTTCCTGGTCTCCCATGTGGGTGCAGGGGCCCAAGGACTTGGGCATCCTCTACTGCTTTCCCAGGCCATAGCAGAGAGCTGGATGGGAAGTGGAGCAGCCAGGTCTTGAACCAGCGCCCATATGGGATGGGGGGCTTCAGACCAGGGCATTAACCTGCTGCGCCACAGTGCTGGCCCCGAAAGTGAATTTTTAAACATTTTTATTTCTTTGACAGGCAGGGAGAGAAAGAGAGGAGGGGTGTGTGTGCATGTGTGTTCTCTCTCTCTCATCCACTGATTCCCTCCTCAGATTTTTACAATGGCCAGAGCTGGGTCAAGGCCATAGCCAGGAGCCAGGAATTCAAACCATGTCTCCTACCTGGGTGGCAAGAACCCAAGTACTTAAACCATCACCCCTTCCTCTGAGGGTCTGCATTAGCACGAAGCTGGAGTCAGGAGCTGGAGCCAGATTTTGAACCAAAGTATTCTGTTATGGGATGAGGTAATCTTTTAAAAAAACTTTTTAAAGATTTATTTATTTGAAAGGCAGAGTTACACAGAGCAGAGGCAGAGACGGAGAAAGAGGTCTTCCATCTCCTGGTTCACTCCCCAGATAGCCACAATGGTTGGAGCTGTGCTGATCTGAAGTCAGGAGCCTCCTCTGGGTCTCTCCACGTGGGGGCCCAAGTGCTTGGGCCATCTTCCACTGCTTTCCCAGGCCAGAGCAGAGAGCTGAATAGAAAGTGGAGCAGCTAGGACTAGAACCGGTGCCCATATGGGATGCCGGCACCGCAGATGGCAGCTTTACCCGCTACACCACAGCGGGTATGGCCCCAGGATGAGGTCATCTTAAGACCACTAGGGCAAATGCCCTCCCCAAATAAAAGTGCATTTTAAAAGTAAATCCTTGGTCTGGCGCTGTGGCATAGCAGGTTAAGCTTCTGCCTTTGGCACCAGCATCCCATATGGGTGCCAGTTCAAGTCCCGGCTGCTCCACTTCTTACCCAGCTCTCTGCTAATGGCCTGGGAAAGCAGTGGAAAATGGCTCAGGTACTTGGGCCCCAGCACCCATGTGGGAGACCTGGAAGAACCTCCTGGCTCCTGGCTTCAGATTGGTACAACTCCAGGCATTGCAGCTATTTGGAGAGTGAACCAGCAGATGAAAGACCATCTCTCTCCCTCTGTCTCTCCCTCTATCTGTCTGTAACTGCCTCTCAAATAAATACATTTTAAAAAAAATAAGTATATCCTGATCAGTTGTCACAGATCTTCAGCAGAAATACAAGTGAAGATATGTATGCAAGTGGGTTTAAAAAATATGACTACAGGGTGGGCATTGTGGTGCAATGGGTTAAGTTGCCTCTTAGGACACCTGAGTCCCATATCAGAGTGCCAGGTTCGAGTCCTGGCAACTAGTGCCTCTGATCTAGCTTTTTTTTTGGCCCAAGTTTATTGAAAATGTGACAGCAAAGCAGAAAGGCTCAAACGGCTCCACTCCGTAGGCGGAGTGACCTGCAGGTTGGACTGACTGCCGAAGTCCAAAAGCTTCAGCATTTCGTGAGTGTCAGGATCTACCTCCATGATCTGATTCAGGCTGAGAGCTTGGGAACACAGCTGTCTCCTTTCTCTCTCCTCCTCCTGCAGCCCGATGGAGACGCCTCTCACGGGGCCTCTCTGACTCCGCTTCATCAGGCGTGAGACACAGCCGGAGATCGTGGTGCTGTGCTTCTTGTTGGGGCTGATGGTGATCTCGCACACGCACTTGTTGGTATGGAAGTCGTTGCCCGGGCAGGTGTAGTACTTCTTGATGATGACCCGGGCCACTGTCTTCACGGTTTTGATGTGAAGGCAGCCCCAGCCCAGAGTCTCTCCTTCGGGGTCAGGGATCATGGGGAGCTGTGGATGAAGGACGATGGAGCCGGATAGTGCCCTAAGACCAATACACCTACCTTGATCTAGCTTCTTTTTTTTTTTTTTTTGACAGGCAGAGTGGACAGTGAGAGAGAGACAGAGAGAGAAAGGTCTTCCTTTGCCGCTGGTTCACCCTCCAATGGCCGCTGCTGCAGCCGGCGCACCGCGCTGATCCTGGCAGGAGCCAGGAGCCAGGTGCTTTTTCCTGGTCTCCCATGGGGTGCAGGGCCCAAGCACCTGGGCCATCCTCCACTGCACTCCCTGGCCATAGCAGAGAGCTGGCCTGGAAGAGGGGCAACCGGGACAGAATCCGGCGCCCCAACCGGGACTAGAACCCGGTGTGCCGGCGCCGCAAGGTGGAGGATTAGCCTATTGAGCCACGGCGCCGGCTGTTGATCTAGCTTCTGTTGGGTCGCTGCCACTCACTGGAGAAACCAGATGGAGCTCTAGCTTCTGGCTTTGTCCTGGCCCAGCCCCCAGCTATTGTGGCCATTTGGGGAATGAATCAGCAGATAAAAGATTTCTCTCTCTCTCTCTCTCTCTTGCCCACTCTCACTCTGTCACTCTATGTTTCAAATAAGTAAATAAAACTTAAAAAACAAATGACTACACAGACTGGTGTTGCAGCATAGTGAGTTAAACCGCCACCTGTGACGCCGGCATCCCAGGGAGCATTGGTTCAAGTCCCAGCTGCTCTACTTCCAAGCCAGGGTCTTGCTAATGCACCTGGGAAGGCGGTGGAAGATGGTCCAGGTACTTGGGGCCCTGCACCTGTGTGGGAGACCAGGATGGGGTACTGGTTCCTGGCTTTGGCTTGGCCCAGCATTGGCTGTTGGGGCCATTTATAGAATGAGCCAGAGGATGGAAAATCTCTGTCTCTCTCTCCCTCTCTCCCCTCTCTCCCTCTCCCCCTGTCCTCCTCTCCCTCTCTCTCCCCTTCTCAGTGTGTGTGTTGCTCTGCCTTTCAAATAAATAAATTTTAGGCTGGTGCCTTGGCTCACTAGGCTAATCCTCCACCTGCAGCACCAGCACCCCAGGTTCTAGTCCCAGCTGGGGTGCCGGGTTCTGTCCTGGTTGCTCCTCTTCCAGGCCAGCTCTCTGCTGTGGCCAGGGAGTGCAGTGGAGGATGGCCCAGGTCCTTGGGCCCTGCACCCGCATGGGAGACCAGGAGAGGCACTTGGCTCCTGCCTTCAGATCGGCGCGGTGCGCCGGCCACAGTGGCCATTGGGGGTGAACCAACAGAAAAAGGAGGACCTTTCTCTCTGTCTCTCTTCTCACTGTCCACTCTGCCTGTCAAAAAAAATTTTTAAAGAAAAGTATTACTACAAAGCATGACTATGATTTTCTGAATATTTTAGGGGGAGCTCTTTAATTCATTTGTCCTTAGTCTACAGTATTTAGTTTGTGGTGAAACTTTGACAATTATTGGTATGAATTTCTCAAAATATTAGTTTATTTTCAAAGAATGACCAGTGACCTTGCTATTAAAAATTTGTTGTATTTTTTCTTGAGTTTGTTCAAAATAATGATTTCCAATACAGCTGATCATCCAATCAAAGCTAAAAACACACACGGTTACATGCTGTGTAAAGAGGGGTAGATTACATTATTGTCAAAAATCTTGGCAATGCATCCAGCGAAGTTAATGACGAATGTTAGTCTTGGAGAGCTAACAGAACTATTGGCAAAATTCATTTATCAGATTGATATGGGGCTTGGCATGGAGTCTGAAACACAAGAACTGGAAGATTTTCTGCAATTAGCCCTGCACCCTAACTCCCCTACATGCCAATCCAGCACACCCACTTTCCCACAAGGCACCCGAGTCTCCTCAGGCTTGAAGAAGACACCACGACAAGTGCGTCTACGCTGATCTCCATGCAGAGATGCCGTGATAATTTCCCAGAGAACATCAGGTGCACTGAGCCCTGCCCAACCATCACCACATTTGCATATTCAATTAGGGTACTGCCCCTCCCAATAAAGGAGTCCACTAAGCCCGGGAGGGGGTTGCTCTCCCACCCTTTCCTGGCGAGCCTGCTTGCACTCACATCTGAATGTGTACTCACCCCCGTCTCTCTTTTTCAAGATTTGTTTATCTGAAAGGCAGAGTTACAGCGGGGGGCATGGGAGGGATCATCCCTCTGCTGGTTCACTCCCCAAATGGCTGCAACAGCCAGGAGCCTGGAACTCCAGCCGGGTCTCCCACATGGGTGCAGGGGCCCTAGTACTTGGGCCACCTCCTGCTGCCTTCCCAGGCACATTGGTAGGGAACGGATTCCCCACAATGCCAGCCCCATTTTTGTTTTGCTTTGTTTTTAAGATTTATACCCTCTCGCTTTAAATAAATCCTGTTCCCATTATTGAATTTTACTTCTGTGCCTGCTTTGAATTCTTATCTCCCATGGGACAGGAGCCTGGACTAGAGGCAGCTGGGGAACACATCCCACAACAGAACAATGGCACAGAAAATGAACCCTCATACTGTGTGCATTCTCACAGGTATCAGCTCCTTTGTTGGACAAAACTATTGCTTGCAGAACAGGACTCACTTCTTGGCACATATGAGGGAAAATCACTCTGTAACTTCTTGTTCTGTTTATAATGGAAAACAACCTTAGAGGGGAACAGTTTTGTTCTGCAAGTTGACCTGCTTCATGTTGGTTCTCCTGCCTCCTCCGGGGACTGGAGAGACAGCCAGAGTCACCTGCTGCTCTGCCCACAGCACAGTCAGTGCTCAGAAGTTCAACGCCTGTCTCCATGCCCAGGTTTCCTCCTTGCAGGAGCACTAGTAAGGAAATCAAATGAGGCCGTGTGGTCCATAGATTCTTGGTTGATTTTCACAGATGGTGGCTGTGTCAGTGCAAGAAACAACAGATGTGTGTGATGGCTAAGATATCAAGAACCTACAGGTATAGTGGATTCCTTTGATCTAAAATCTGTCAGATGATTAATTTTTAAAATTCTTTTTCTCTTGGCCAGCGCCGCGGCTCACTAGGCTAATCCTCTGCCTGCGGCGCCGGCACACCGGGTTCTAGTCCCGGTCGGGGCGCCGGATTCTGTCCCGGTTGCCCCTCTTCCAGGCCAGCTCTCTGCTGTGGCCTGGGAGGGCAGTGGAGGATGGCCCAAGTGCTTGGGCCCTGCACCCCATGGGAGACCAGGAGAAGCACCTGGCTCCTGGCTTTGGATCAGCGCGGTGCGCCGGCCGCAGCGCGCCGGCCGCGGCGGCCATTGGAGGGTGAACCAACGGCAAAAAGGAAGACCTTCCTCTCTGTCTCTCTCTCTCACTGTCCACTCTACCTGCCAAAAAAATTAAAAAAAAAAAAAAACTCTTTTTCTCAAACTCCTTCTAACCAATAATCAATAACCCCTCCTAAGCACTTCGTTATCTGTCCTGTACCTCTCCTGATTATCATGCAGGAGTGCTCATTATAATATAATTAGCATGGGCAGGGCACTCAGCCTGCCGTCGTGTGGTTACAGAATCTGTTCTCAGTCAACACCTCCATCCCCCTTGGTCAGAACACAACTCCTGGTCTCACTTCCCTGTATGACTACAAAGTGTAGGAACTGTATCAACTCTTTCCATTGTCATGCTGTGCCTCGCAATGTTCCACTGAACAGAGCATCCACACCTAATTCTACTGGCCCAATGCATTCATTTCACATCAAACAGTTCACAAAATATTTTTCAACAAATTTTCCTGAACATACATAAGCACATTTTCTTTTCTAAATCCTCTGTTACATGTAAGTTGAATATGTATTAGCCAACCTAATAAATATCCCAAATCCAATTAAATGGATTATTAATGTGGGACTGATGTTGTGGTGTAGCAGGTAAAAGCCACCGCCTATGATGCTGGCATCCCATATTGGTGGTTTGAGTCCCCCCTGCTCTACTTCCAATCCAGCTCTCTGCTAATGCACCTGGGAGAGCAGCGGAGCACGGCCCAAGTCCTTGGGCCCCTGCACCCGCGTGGGAGACCCAGAAGAAGCTCCTGGCTCCTGGCTCCTGGCTCCAGCCTGGCCCAGCCTGGGCAGATGCAGCCATCTGGGGAGTGAGCCAGTGGATGGGAGAATCTCTCTCTGTCTCCGTCTGTCTGTCTCTCCCTCTCTCACTGTGCCTTTCAAATAAACAAAAATAAATCTATAAAAATAAATTATTAATGAATAATCAATATTATTTTGATACTATTTTGAGTCTGGGAATGTGCTTTTACATCCCTACTGATAGCATACAGCTATGCTTTCATTACAGGAGGGCACAGATGCCAGGACAAAGATGGGACTGAATGTCAAGGTTTGCTGCTTTATTCTGTCTTTAGGTGAGGAACAGTACGCTACTTGACCTTGAGTTAGTACTGAAGGAAATCAAGAAAATAAAATCGGGTGGTGGATGTTTAGTGTAGCTATTAAGACACCATTTAGGATGCCCATATCCCATATCAGAGTGCCTGGGTTAGAGTCCCAGCCTTGCTACTGATTCCAGTTTGCTGAAATGAGCACACTGGGAGGTAGCAAGTGGTGGCTCAAGTCCTGCTACCCACACAGGGGACCCAAATTGAGTTGTGGGCTCTTGAACCCAGCCTTGACTGTTGTAGGTACTTGGGGAAGGAACTAGTGGTTGGGAGGCACATTTCTTTTTTTTTTTTTTTTTTTTTTTTTTGCTCATTTACCTTGTTTTTATTTCAATGTAACATGCAGTAAAAAAATTAACAGGATTTATTAGCATTTACAATGCTTACAAAGAAAAAGGACTTTTAAAAGCAATTTAGTTCAGATTTAAGAAAAGCTCTAATTAAACACTTACAATAAATCTATTTCCAAATGTTCAGTTTGGACCAAAATTTAATTTATGTCTGCTGTCTATTTGCAGAATTTTTATATAACCTCTGATTCTTGGGATATCCAGCCCCCATTTTCCTAACACAGCAGGGAAGACATATACATGTGGCCACTTAAATTAAAGGAAGATATGGAGTAGGGGAGATCCCAGGCTGCAAAAATATATACAAGCATTTACCTTTTCCAGAACTAAACATTTCTTCCATAAAAATAT